CAGAAGGCCTCTATGGGGCTAGCCATCCCCATGCTTGAGGTATTCCCTCCCCACCCCAGGCTAAGTGGCAGAACCAGGTCTTCAAAGCTCTACCAGGAGTGAGGGGGCCAGTCGCACCTCCGGGGGCAGAATGTTCCAAAGAGCGGGGGCTACCGCAGAGAAGGCCCGCCTTCTGGACCCCGCTAATTGAAGTTCTTTTACTGAGGGGGTCCGAAGCATGCCCCATCTGTGTGATCAGGTGGGACGGGTTGAAGTCTTAGAGGAAAGGCGGTCCCTTAAGTAACCTGGTCCCATGCCACGTAGGGCTTTAAAGGTGATAACCAACACCTTGAATTGGACCCGGAAGCAAACTGGTACCCAATGCAGCTCGTGGAGCAGTGGCGTTACATGGGCCCTCCTTGGGACTCCAAAAATAGCCCGTACGGCTGCATTCTGGACCAGCTGTAGCTTCCGGATACTCTTCAAGAGTAGCCCCATGTAGAGCACATTGCAGTAGTCTATCTGGGAGATAACAAGGGCATCAGTGACTGTTCGAAGGGCATCCCAATCCAGGAAAGGGTGTAACTGATGCACAACCCGAAGTTGTGCAAAGGTCCTCCTTGCCACGGCTGCCACCTGCTCTTCAAGCAGGAGCCGTGAGTCTAGGAGGACCCCCACATTATACACTGGGTCTGTCTGGGGCAGTGCCACCCCATCCAGCACCAAAGATGACAAAGTCCCGGACACAGAGGAGCCATTAACCCACAGCCACTCTTACCAGGGTTCAGCCGAAGCCTGTTATTCCCCATCCAGACCCTTACAGTCTCCAGGCACCGCGAAAGGGTGGCCACGGCATCACTTACTTCACCTGGGATGGAGAGATCAAGGAGAGCAAGGATGGTCGCACTTCCACTATCCCGCTCCTGCCAGAGGTCATCCATAAGTGCGATCAGTGCCGTTTCCATTCCATAACCAGGCCTGAAACCTGATTGGAAGGGATCCAGATAATCCTTTTCCTCCAGAACCCTTTGGAGCTGTGATGCCACCACCTTCCCTAAAAAGGGGAGGTGGGAGACTGGACGAAAATTGTCCAGCACAGTAGGATCCAGGGAGGGTTTCTTGAGGAGGGGGTGCACCAATGCCTACTTAAAAGCAGCTGGAAACACTCCCTCCTGAAAGGATGTAGTAACCATCGCCTGGATCCAGCCATGTGTCACCTCCCGAGCTGCTTTCACCAGCCAGAGGGCCATGGGTCAAGATGGCAAGTGTTGGCCTTCACAGTCCCCAGGATCCTGTCCACTTCCTCAGGAACAACAGGATCAAACTGTTCCCAGATAACTGGGCAAGAACGGTCTCCCGGTA